AAGTTCCTGATCCTGCTGGAGAGGGTATGTTTATAGTTACTGGAAGGCAGAGAAGCTGCAATGGTGTGTTGCTGGAAGAACTTTCCAGAAATTTATCCTCAAGGACACCATCAAGGAAGACTGTTCACAGGGAAATGTCTCACTGAAGCACTCTGATACAAAAATGCCCAAAGAGAGTGTGCTAAAAGAACCTACTGGGTGTTGGGTGCTGGGTGCTGGTTACTACCGGCCTTCATGCATTGCAGGGAAATCACTACCTGGGTGCTGGTTGCTACCGGCCTTCATGCATGTGCTGGGGAAATCACTCACCCAGCTGCCGGAGAGCACACCAAAACCAAAAGGAAAAACTCTTTCTTCAACTCAGTCTTTCCTGTACTCTTTGTCCACTGAGGTTACTGTTTCACGAGGTGAGGAAGTAAAAACACTTATGGAGCCCATATCCATTTCACAGAGCAGGTAGTGAAGGGTGAGTTTGAAATAAAGAGGTCATAAATGAGTAACACGTATGGGACTCCCTCCCTAGCCACTGTCAAGAGTTTTCACAAGGGACTATCAAAAGCTTTTGTCCTGAACTTATTACAAAATCAACTTACTGTGTTGAATGTGTAGCTTACTTATCTATGGTAACTTTTAAAGGAATTGGTTGACTTTAACCATTCCTTAAGTTACATGTGTGCTTCAGCCAGGTCTTCGAAACAAAATAAGTGTCTATTATTTTCCAAATATTTTATAATTAATCATGATAGAAACGATCGTTCACAAAACCAAGTGTCACACACATTTTGTTAGAATGGGAGATCCCTCGTTTTGGGTGGAAGTGGCTTAGTATTCTTCTGAATATGGTAGCTACTTAACTTTCGATATTTCTTCCTTTGCATGACCATTCGATTTTACAGATGCTCTAAGCAAGCTGCACTAAATCATTCTGGTTTACTACACTGTCATCTGTGGCACAGTGAATGGCCTGTAGCACGCGGTCAGGCAGACCCCTCCTTGCGTGTCGATGAAAATGGATTATAACTACCTAAGTTTGTAGGTAAACTATTTTCATCGCTGAAAAATGCAAGAAATGTAAGAAGCATTTGTGTTTGTAGAAGACCTTACATCTTGAATAAGACATATGGATACATAAAATATATAGTATAAGGCACTTACCATTTGTATTAAAGTAAAAGAAATTCTTTCCCAAGTCCTCAAAATGTTTTGAAAACATTGTTGTTTGAGGGTCCACAGAAAACCTGTGAGCCAAAAATATCTATAGGGATACCACATTCAAAGAGAGATTTTTCAGAAAGACAGTGACTTTTACCAGGTGACATAGTTACAAGTTCTGGCATGCAGTTATTTTCAGGAAGGAGTAATGAATGGTATGTTTGTTTTGCTAAACTACTCTTACAGTCTTGAGAGAAAGAATTTTCTTGGTGTTGCTGCCAGCTTCCTTTGTTAAAGAGATGTCGATCTTGAGGGAAAAGGGAATCTTCGAAGAAGAACAAGTTTATATGTTTGGAAAAGATGTTCATTTATAAATGTAGAAGTGCTGTAATGAAAAAATATTGATATGAAGGGACTCAGATATAGCGCTACCTGCTATGTTAGCCCAGTAGCTGTTTTATGGGTTTGGAATCCAAAGTTCCAAACTATGGTAGTTCAGTTCCCATAAAATAAAGAGATGGAAGAGAGGAAGGGGAATGAGAGAGGGGAGAATGGTCACAAATCCAACTCTACCTCCATAATTGTCTAAAGACGTAGCAGCCTATCATTATTTTCGTTTTCTTATTGGGGTTACTTTAAGTTGATATTTTCTTCTTAATGAGAATCATCTTTCTCCTCAACAGATTGTACAACTAGTTCTTTCTCATTGGTGGGAAAAGAAGACTATGACATGAAATCTGTACTTAGGTATCGTTTGTCAAGTTAATTTTGCTTGGCGTCTTTATTCAGTAGCTGTAAGTCATATACTGAATACAGTCTAAATAATGCAGAAGAACTCAGGACTGACAGAAAAGACAGGCCATGATTAATGCATATTTATTGAGATTTCACTGCGTGTATGGCATGGTGTCCTATGTTAAAAACACTTCACTATTTGTGAAGGGCTTTCTGATACCTTTGCTCCTATTCTTGTTCTTTTAAACTTTAAATTGAACTCACCAGCATGCCTGAATTCTGAGACTAGGCAAAGGATTTCCCTCCCCCTCTAATAACATCAGAAATAAGAGCCAACGGATAGAACAGCAACAAAAACAATATCACCAACAAAAAAAGCCTGGGGGGGACACTTGGGTCAGGAAAGTAGGACAGAAATGTATCGGTGTTCTCAATTGCCCCATCCCTTTAAATTGTTTATTACCGATAGAAACCGCTGAAGCCTGGGACCCCAAGCCAAACCCTGTGCATTCTCTGTTGTTCGTGAGTTGGAACACTAGGGGACAGCACTAAAATATTCCATAGTTGTGTGTTATTGATCACTTGCATAGTGTATAATAAGTGAGAGATTTTACTGTTAAAGACTATTGAATGCCCTGTTGATTTCAGTGGATGAAAAGGCACAAAGAGGAAGATGAGCTTCTCAAATCCATAATTTCAGCCTTTGTGAGAGGGTGTTTTAAATAATTGAGAAAAAGCATCCAGGCTATTTTTTTTTCCTTTTGGTTGCAAGAAGATAGCAAGGCATGATCATCAACAACAGAATCGTGATTCATCTGTTCGGGTTTTGTTCTGTCTTTTGATTCTGTTGGAGTAAATGTGTTGCTGAACTTTCAATTTCTAATCTTGTTTTCCAGGCACTTTAGAAAGGCATGAGACAGGAGAAAGAGCTCGAATTATTCTTAATTGTTGTGAAGATTCACAGCTTCTAAAGCCCGAGCTGGTACTTCCAGCGGCCTCAGAGACACATAGACACAAAAGTGTAGAACAGAGATCGTCCAGCTCCTATCAGCTTGGGCCAGTACCTTCCCCTGGACTGCAGGTGGAGTCTTCATGCAAGGTAAGTGCAAAGCCAGCTGCTGTTCACAAGGAATGTTCTCAAGCAAATAAGAAATGATCTGCCTGCATAATTCTGTGGCCCTTAAGTATCAACACAAAAGCAAGAACTCAGACACCGCTGCCTCTACGTAGTGATCTTAGGTCTATCAGGGTCGCTTTCTGAGTGACTATTGTTATGGCATTATTTTTGAAGACAGGTTCTAGCTTATCAAAATACAGTCAATTTTATATTAACCCTTGGATGCCAGGTGATTTTCCATAGGAAACAATAAAAAACTGTCTTCTATTTTTTGGTTTAGAATATTCGACATCTTTTAAAAATGCTTATTGCAAATAAACAAAAAGGTATCATTGTCTGGCAGTTTCTTCTCATCTATACAGCCTCATACTTAGGATTTCAAGCCTCTGTTGATATACAATAAGGAAGTTTTCATTTATTCTCATAAGCCAAGTCAAGCAGCTTAGTGGAAATTTGGACTGCCTTTAGTATTTTCACTTCTCAAGGTGATATTGTGATTTAATCTGATTTCTCTAAGGGATTCTTTTCCACCCTTTTATCTTTACACTTCAAGTTACGATCTCAACATGTTGTAACTATGCCATTTATATGCACGCGTCTAATGTATATCTTCATGGAAATGTAATTTTATGTTATCTAATAGGTGTACATTTTAATTTTTGGAAACTGTATTATGCTCTATATTACGTTTCTGCTAGTGCTAATGCAAATTATTTTCCTGTGGCTTGGTAGATGGGGTATTCTTTATGTTTTACTTTTCTGAATGACACAGAAGCTTTTTTTATCAGGATTATTTCAAGGATCTACTTTGGGAAGTGGGATTTCTAATTTCTCTGATTTTTTTTGCTGATTTTTAATTTCATATTGTTGATACTTTTTGTCACTTTAATGGTACTATGAAGACTGGTAAAATAACATGGATAAGGAATTTAAATAAGACCTTATTTTATCTCATGTGTCCACATATTGTTAGACAAAGGGCGGTACCTGTAGCTCAAAGGAATAGGGCGTCAGCCCCATATGCCGGAGGTGGCGGGTTCAATCCCAGCCCTGGCCAAGATAAAAAGAATGTGTCTTCATCAAGAAATGCCAACTGGCTGCTCAAGCCATGCCTTGAAGCAGCAGACTTGGGGTAGGTGCCAGCATATAATCTTTAGCTGTTTAGGTTTGGAGACCTACTTTATATTTTATTAGTGAGTCTAGGATTTGTCAACCTTTTAAGAACTGAATCACATAACTGAACATCTAAAAATGATCATATTAACTAGAATGATAATGATTTAACTTACAATGATAAATACAATTAGAATTCTGGCCATTACTTGTTTCATCCTCACTGTAGCAAAGCTGTAGGGGCAGAGGAACAAAGTATCACAGAGGTTCCTTGATGGGCAGAAAGTCAGAGGCAGGAATGCAGTCAACTCTTCAGCCCATTAGGGTATCATCTCCATTGGTCAAGCTGATATGTGTTAAAATTTTTATAAATTTTGGGTTTCTCTTTGTAAGACTCCCTTTGTAAGCGTACATGCTATTTGGGTTAAGACTCCCTTTCTAAGACTACATACCGTTATTTATACTTTCCTGCTTCAGATATTAAAGCCAGTGATTAGGTGATGGCTTTTTATCCCCCTTTCTCATTTATTTAATTGCTGTCGGGTTTCCAAAAGGTCTGAAAAAGGTGATGTGTTTTAAGGGTAATTTTGTAGGTGTAATGAAACTTTGACTTTCACAACTGAACGTAAGGCAGGAAATTCAGTCACTTTCACAGTATAAGTAAATGTACTGTACAGTGGGGGTAAGTAAAGCTCAGTGAGTGAGCCAGCCTGCAACCAAGCATTCCCATCTTGCTGAGTCTCTGATGCTCTCTTTTCATAACAGAGAGCATTGTACAGTGGAAAGCACATGCTAGATAGTGGATGAGAAAGGTGGGCTGTCTCTTGACCTATGTGTTTTGGAAGCTTAGTGTCTGCAAGAGCAACTCTAGTTCATCAAGCCCTGAGTTTACTAGTTTAATTCCCAGAAGGGAAACTGATTGTTCTGTTATTTCTTTCAGTTTCTTGGAGAACTTCAGAACTACCCTTTCAGTACTGGTAATAGTATATATAGATTTCATTTTTTTTATATAGTTTTGTTTCTTCCTTGACTTCAGGAAGCAATAAAATGCCAGGGTCTTGTTTTCCTATTCATAGGCTGATTCCAACTTTATTTTCTAGCTGTTGCCCTTTACCTTAGATGACTACGGTTTCCAATCTTCATTCTTTAGAACTGAAGAACCAAACTAGACAGGACTGTCACCTCCTTTGTCCTACGTACTGTGCTTGTATTATTGTTGAATTCAGTGTTCATCAAAGCTATTTTTACGTATGCTTCTCTTACATTCTATCTTTTCCAGTTATGCACTGGACATCTTCATTGCCTATCATATATTCCTTATCTTTTAGCATTTTACCCTCTTAAAGTTAGACTGTTGAGATAGTTTTATCTCAATCATCTTTGATGAACCTATTTGATAAGCATGAAATTTGAAACAATACTTTAAGTTCTCCATTCTCCTTATTCATATAGTACAATGAATCATGAGTTTTCATAAGAAAAAAAGTCAGTTTTAAGGAAGAGGATTTGGATCACACTCATTTTATGTGTGGAAAAAAGTGAAGGACAATAAGTTTGTGAAACTTAGAATTTTCTCAGGTTACTTAGTATTTAAGGGTGTGTGTGTGTGTGTGTGTGTGTGTGTGTGTATTTTGGTAAGACACAAGTGAAATACTCTCCAACAATTGGGTGAACTGTTTAAACAGAAGAATAGCATGTGACGTCTGTGCAGTGAGCTCTTTATGTGTGGCAATATTTGGACTAGACTGTTGTATGCACTTTTTCTTCTTGCATTTGAAGAGTACATATAGAGATGGGGAAAGGTTTAGAAGAGAACAGCAAATACAATGAAACATTTTGAAAATGAGTCCAATTTGAATTTCGAAAACAGTTGCATTTGTGCAACTAGGCAAAGAAAAAAATCTTTGTGATAGGAGAGAAGAGGCAGAGTGGTAAAGGAATACGATATCATATTAGTGATGAGGAACTGCTTTTCTTAGACTCATCTGAGGATAAAACAAGATAGAACCTGTTTAAATTGCAGTGGGAGGAATTTAGCTTCAAAGTAGAGAACAAATAGGCTTGCCAAAATCGTCTCTACATGGCAGAAATCTTTGTGGCTTTATCCTATTTTAAGGTGAAAATGCCTTAACAGCATTTTCTATTGGTCAGTTGATTGGTTTCAAATTCTTTTTCTGAATTTCTTGTCTGTAAAATGAGTAAAAGGACAAACAGGATTATTTGATATTTCTATAGACCGGGTCTCCTAACAGCTCCCCCTGGTGGCTGATTTAGAGTCTCACTACCCAATATGGCAGCCATTAAACATTATTGTAATAGCTATGGAGCATTCGAAATGTGGGTAGTGTCACACGTTAAAATATATTTTGAATACATAGGACTAAATAAAATGTATTATTAAAGCTAATTTCACCTGTTTCTTCTTAAGTGTTTTAATATGGCTAGCAGGCAATTTAATATTACAAGTTTAGTTTGCATTTTATTTGTATTGAACAACAGTGAACTAGACAGGGATGAGTAAATGTTTTTGTTTTTGTTTTTGTTTTTTTGAGACAGAGCCTCAAGCTGTCCCCCTGGGTAGAGTGCCGTGGCATTACAGCTCACAGCAACCTCCAACTCCTGGGCTCAAGCGAGTCTCCTGCCTCCGCCTCCCAAGTAGCTGGGACCACAGGCGCCTGCCACAACGCCCGGCTATTTTTTTTTTTTTTTTTTGGTTGCAGCCGTCATTGTTGTTTGGCGGGTCCGGGCTGGGGATTTGAACCCGCCACCTTAGGTGTACGTGGCTGGCGCCCTAGCCGGTTGAGCCACAGGCGCTGAGCCAAGTAAATGTTTTTTGTAAAGAACTTGCTATAGTCTGGATATTTGATTCCTCCAAACCTTAAGTCGAAATTTGACCCTCATGTTGAAATCTGGAGATGGGGCCTAATGGAAGGTGTTTGGGTTATGGAAATGCATCCGTCATGAGTAGATTAATGCTGTAGGAGAGGTGAGTGAATTCTTCCTCTGTTAGTTCCCATGAAAGCCAGTTGTTAAAAAGAGCCTGGAACCTCCTTTTCCTTTTTCTGTTGCTTCCTTTCTCACCATGGGATCTCTGTGCACATTCTACTTTCCACTAAGAATAGAAGAAACCTAAGACCCTCATTAGATTCTGAGTCTTCCAGGCAGCAGAACTGTGAACCACATAAAACTTTTTTCTCTATAAATTGCCCAGTGTCAGGTATTCCTTTACAGCAACACAAAATTGGACTATGATAGGACAAGGTGGTACATATTTGAGGTTTGTCTGGCAGATCTTTGCTGTTGTCCCTTCCTATTCAGTTTTACTATTGGAGCACAGAAGCAACTATAGACAATTCTTCCACAAGGGTGGTTATATTCCAATAAAACTTTATTTACAAAAACAGGCAGAATTGATGCACTGGCTCTAGTTGCTTGATTTATGGTCTAGACAGTCTCGTTGGACATGAACATCATGACGTATTGGAAGGAACTGGAAAAATAATTAACACCTCTGCTTTCCCTTCATATCTAGATTTTTAATAAGGTAATTTACTTCAACCACTTCTGCACTGTATTGAATATAATGCAAAAGATCTGTATTAAGTCTGTTTTTGTGACAAAAACTAGGAACTTAGATGTTTTTAGAAAACCTTTGAAATAAACAAATGTGCAGGTTTTGGCTTCTGATTTTATTGAGTTTTTAAAAGGAAATTTTTTTTAATGCACTTGTATGTGCATCTTTATTTGAACCCATAAAGTTGATTATAAAATAGTGCATTTGCATTTATTTAGTTTCCAGTTCCATTTTCTAGAAATGTGGTTGTATTTTTTTAACCTTTAGTTGACCTTAGGGTGATGTCTATTTGGTA